AAATTCAGCTTTCTTTTGGATAATGGAATTCATGTGGAATCTTAGGTTATTCACTTTACTTAAAATAATTTGGTCTGGTTTTTTTACATATTCTGTTTGAAGTTCTATCATTTGTCATTCTATCTTAAGTTTTTAACTGTCAGTTTTTTTCCGGTATGAGCAATATTGGATTAACCGTCCCCTATAAACTCTCCTGAGATCATCCCCGGTAACGCCAGAGTCCAAGACAGAGCCTTCATTATGTAGCCAATATTCTCCTATGGCTGTTCTCATGAACTTACAGACCGGCTCATTTAGTAAGAGTGAGTTATTAAATGGCCATCGTATAGCTCTCTCCTCATCATCTAAGGTGGTCAGTACAATATCAACCTCTGCATGATCAGAGAGAATAACATTTCCATTTAATATCGCTAATAAGGTCCTTAGAGATCAATATATAATCAATTCTGGAGTAAGAGGCATGTGGGTGGGAAACGAATGCAGAGTCTTTTTCCAAAGCATGGAGGATTCGCCTGATATCTATTAGGCTGCACTTCTCCAACATCGTATCAGTTCCACAAAAGGTGGTGAATGTGGTACAAACTGTACAACAACCAATCTCTCCAACCACAAAAACACGACGTCCAAAGGTTTTATCTTGCATTTATAAGGGTTTCTAAGAGCTGACAGGATTCCAAACCTCTGATGCTCCTCCCCGCTTGGAGTCACTGGGTTTTACTTTGATGAGAAAAGCTCTGAAATCTCAGTATTATCTGTCCCATCACTGCCTTTCCCTGTCAACATCCGATTAAAAAAACAGCAACGTGACTGTAAAATGTGACGCGTTGAGAAGTAGAAATGTAGCAGAGTAGAAAGTATATTTGCTGTAAGTCAGAGTAAAATTCAGAAGTGTCCAACTTAAGACCAGATATATGAAAAATGTACTTAAGTACAGTACTGAAGTAACTGTACAGTGAGTTCTTGAACTTAATCCGTTCTGGACTCCCGATCGAATCCTATAAAGTTTGAGTTCTGATGAAATTTTTCCCATAAGAAATAATGGAAAACCAATTAATTGGTTCCTGGCCCCCCAAAATTACACCTCTCTCTCTCTCTCTCTCTCTCTCTCTCTCTCTCTC